TTCGGGCTGCTGAGCCCGGCCCGCTCCCCGCCCCCTCGGGGCTCCTGGGCGGGCTCCAGCATGGTGAAATGCCACCGCACCTCTTTGTTACCTGGATGAAGTCAGCCGCCGCCGCTTCCTTCTGCCTCTGATCGGTTTAATGGCCCAAGTAACGTTATCGGTGTCACTCCCAGCTAACCCTGAGTAATCATAATGCAGCTCCTGAGACTCATTTGTAACCATCGCGCTTCTTCCCAGTATCTTCCCTCCTCTCTCTTCTTTCCCTCCTTCTCTCTCTCTTTCTTTCTGTTAACGTTACACGCACGTTTTCCCCTTGCATCTCCGTTTGTTCTGCGCAGCCACGTCTTGAAACCCTGAATCTACATTAATTACGCAAACATTTTCCAAATCGAGAGCGGGTGCGACAGTGCCGCGGTCAGCCGTGGCGTACTCGGGCCGAAATCAAAACGTTGGCTTGGTCGCCCTGCTGCCGTGTCCTGTGGGCGCGCCTGCACGTTCGTTAACGCACCGTAGTTACTGCACGTTAAGTTTCGTACTTGTATAATCAAGCGCTAAATGTGCAGTGATTGGCACTGCTGCGCATTAGTGCCACAGCACATCTTTTTCGTGATACTGCTGTGCAGTAGCGTATTGGCACTGTTTTTGACATGACATGCTACTGCCGTGTAATAGGCTATTACACGTTTAACATCTCATGTAGGCACTCCCTGTGATTGGGGATTACATGGCATTATCCCACATTGTCTGTTGCTACCTTTTCCATTGGGACCTTCCACCAAATGAATTGGAGCAGGCGCAGCACAGTTTCTTTCTGCTCTTTTAGTTTATCCTGATTCCTAATCAAGCCTTTTTTTTCCCCCCGCAAGCACATGACGCTAGTATATAGAGAGCTGCTCTTTTCTAGAGCAGTGAGCCGTTTGTGAGGTTTCCCAGGCGTAAGTCTGGGTGAATTGCCATCAGACACGGGACTTGCAGACATTCCTTGTAGATGTCACCTTCGAAGTCACCTGTACTGGACAGCAGCCAGTTGGATATAAACATCCGTGTCACGCGCAAACACAAGCAATGGAGCTGCGAAAGGAACTCAGAGAGATTCTGGAAATGTGCATCACCCTTTTTCATGATATAGGTCAAAATTTAGATGCAGGATTACTATAGCCATTTTCCTAATAGTCCCAGAAGACAATTTATGATGTGCTTTATGCATTCTCTTCCACTGTGACCTGGACAATATCATAAATACACCAGTACCTCTTCAAGTTGGCATGAAGCTTCTTAATGTCTATGTCCTGCAAAGGCATCATGAGTTTTTTTTTATGTTTTATGCCTAAAACCTGCTTCCCGTTGGCAGGGCACGTTAATTGAGTTGGCTCAGTCCATAGATTAATTTTAAATTAGGTTTTTTAAAATAACCATACAATGTAAGTAATACCATATACTGTAAATCTGTCTTCCTATGCTAAACTGAATTCCTTCCAACATGGGATTAAATGCAGGGTTTCTTGGGACAACACACAACTCTCCTATTCTTTAAGGACAATAAAATCCATTGGTTCCACATAAATAGTCCTGAAGCATGCTCTGTCCCCAACAAGTTGTTTCCCAAGTCCCTCTTTTTCCTGAAAGAAGGAAACTCCTGGACTTGGTGTGGCACAAACAAGCTACTTGCTTATTACTGATTAGTCATGATCTTATCAACAGAGACTAGTGAACAGCAAGAAGCCAGTTTGGCCTGTTCACAATGTTTAAATTCCCCTCATATAAAAACAGTTTAAAGCAATAGGCTCATGAATAAATTAAACTAGTTTAATCAAAACTGCAAGCACTGAGCTACTGTGTTGTCTTGATCATATAATATTTTTCTCACATACAACGCAACACACTTGCTTTCCAAAATCCAGTGGCTAGAAATTGAGGCTTAGATTGTAAAATATGGTGACAGCAGTTTCTGCTGCTTAAGCCTCTGTCAGGAGAAAGCAAAAATAAAGCAGCAAACGTTGCATGCAAGACTCCCTAGCTCAGGGGCGGGCAATTATTTTGGGCAGAGGGATGCTTACTAAGATTTGGCAAGCCATCGAGGGCCGCATGGCAGGCAGCCCAGGGCAGATTAATATTAATTTTCTAAATTTTTAAGGGGCCCTGCGAATGAAGGTCCTTTCGGGCTGCGTCCGGCCCCAGGCCGCATTTTGCCCGCCCCTGCCCTAGCTGCTGACTGGATGTTTTCCCTCTCCCTGTTGTAATTGTTTTTTGTAATTAAATCTCCTGCAGAGGTTCTCAAGGAAAGGTTGTTTAAATTTCTTTCTGCCTTTCAACAACAAGGTGCATATTTACTTGAGGGTGCATTGAATGCAAGAAAATACAGTAATTTCGAATATTCTGAAGTGGTTGTTTCTTGGCTCTAGTTCATGGTCTCTCAAATATGGCATTTACTCAAATACCACACATGCTTTCCTCCCATAAATCACCCCTCCAGGATTGGCAAGCATGTCTTAAAAGAGGAAGCTAATTTTTCTTCTTGTATCGAAGCAGACAGACTCTGTTGCAAGGTATCTACCATGCTTCTCCCTCTACCAGCCACAGGGAGAGAGGAGATGGCATTCACTTGTCAGCACCAGAGCTACATCTTTAACCATCTTGCAGTCACAACCACTGAAGTCAGGTTCCCCTGCAGTCAGCATTCAGCCATGACTGGAAGAATATTTTTTCTTCCAAAATAAGGGACATGTCTTATTTGGGGGCATGTGGTATACAAGAGAACATGCTGTGTTTGATCCGAGTGCCACTACTGCACTAGATCCAGCCTCAGCTTCATTGGTCTGTTCTTCCTGAGCTTTACTTGGCAGTGGGTGCTGACAGTCACCAGGCACCCATGCAGGCCGTGTCAGGCAGCCGTGGGGGTGCATTGCATCAAACAGATCCCTTCTTGAACAGTTATGATTTGTGTAATAAATATCGTCAGACTTTTTTTCTCCCAGTACTTCTAATTTTACACAGAAAAGGGCTTAGCTGGTTTAAATTGTATAACAGAAATTGTGCTCAGCAACTGCATAGAATGGAGGCATTCCAAAGTCCCCTGTTTCCCAAGTGTTGGGTTTGGGGTTTTTTTGGTTTTGAGTTTTTGTTTTGTTTTTTACTGGTTTTTGTTTTAGGGTTGTTTTTTTTGGGGGGGGGGTTGACCAAAACATGCCTTTGCTGAGCTTTTCTCATTTTAGCTGCTACTCTCAGGTAGAACTGATTCAGATGCTCCTGCAAGTACGTACCCATTTTAAAACCCTCTATCTGAGTGCCAGAGGTGTGAATGACCAGGAAGGTACATCTGCCTTTCAGTCATAACCTCTAAGAGCAGTTGGCCTGAAGCTGATGTAACTTTTAAGGCCGTTAGGATGAAAGGACTGAAAAGATCCCAGTTTCCTTGGGAGTACCAGTTTCCTTGGGATGAATTGTATAGTGTAGCTGGCTTGTTCTGCTACCCCAGATGATTGGAGACAAAAGGGGATGTGCTTTTTATTTTTTTTTTGTTTTATTTTTATTTATTTATTTATTTTTGCTGTAACCCATTAAAACAAGCAACATTTATCAGTTTATGCATGGAATTAGATTTTGGGTTTGCCTGTGTTCTCATGGGTACTCCCTAGAGAGAGGAGAGCTGCTTCCCTGTTACTTTGGCTGTTAGCAATGCAGTGTTCACCCAGAGTGGGGAAACCTGATCATTTAAGAAAAGAAGTTAATTATTATCAGGTATTGTTTCAGAAACATGATAGTTATTAATACCCATTTATAGGCACTTTTGCCTAATGTTGAAGGGGGAAACATTTATGCGAGGATTTATTTTTTTTTAAAGATCTCTATCTGTAAATATGTATGGTGTAGGACTAGTCAATTTACAGTAAAAGCTGTATTATCAAGCCGGAATGCTCTATTAACCGGCCTACCAGCTTGTAAGGCAAAAGCCGGAACGGAAGTGCCAACTGTGGCACTTCCAGTTTTGCCGAGCCCCTACGGCCCAGGGCAAAGCAGCCTGTGCTGCCGACCCCCACAGCCTGGGACATAGCAGCCTGTGCAGGGCCTGCCTCTCTGCTCCAGATGCAGCAGCCTGAACAGGCAAAGATACCTGCAGCCTGAGGAAGACAGACCTTCTAGGGTTTTAGCCCAGTAACCAGGTGATTAAGGTGCTCACCCAGGAAGCAGGAGACATAGGTTCTAGGTATTCCTCACCCAGCAAGGATTTGAACCTGTTCCTCTTTGATTTCATGGCATTGTACTTGAACCACCTTGCCACAGGTTAGGTGTTGTTTTAGCTTTTCTCCAAGCCTTCTCTTGAAGCTGAGGAGCTGCATCTTGCATTTATTATTCATTGTGTAAAAGGGACAGAGATAACTGGGGAAAGTTTCTGCCCCATTGGGAACAGGGTGAGGGGAGATCCAAGCTGGAACCTGCTCCCTGCCAAACTAGCATCCCTCTCATTAAGCCACACACCACCTTGCTGGTTCACCTTTCCTGGCCTCACACACCTCCCTCTTTTGGCTGCCTAGCAGGCCGGGTTCAAAAGGACTGGAGAGGCCACTAAGTGCTGCCTACTCTGTGGTATAGTCCGAGTCATGTGCTGAGAAGTCAGAAAAGGCACATGTTCAAATTCTTTTGAAATGGGGCTTATAACCCAAGTCTTCTGCTTCATGGACATGTGCCCTGCCCACTTGTTTGTAAGAGAGAAATAGGAAGACTGTCCAACACCAACTAGTCATGGGGTTTTTTTTGCC